CATTAATGATGAGGTAGACTTCACTGAAAAATCTTTTTTTGCCATAAATAATTCATTTGCTTCTGGGAATTGTGTTTTAAACATATATACAGAATCACTGGCCTGGGATTTTGCTGAGGTTTGAATGAACTTCCGGGTTAGGGTAGCTTGACAGCTGACTCAGATTGGTAAAAACAAGAATTAATCTGATAAATCATGGCCTTAGACTATTTGACATTCTCTTTCCTCTTGCATATAGTTTTATTTGATCTCCTCCTCCCCAATATAACAATATATCAGTTGTTATGTTAGCTCTGTGCATACCTTTCTTTCCTTGGCCTTTTATATTTGCACAGTGTAGTTTAGAGCTCTGGGCTGTAATGTATGGATTGCATTGTGCATTTCCCATCACCGGCTCTTCAGCACACAATAACTGCAGTGTGGAGGGACCTACACTGAGACAGTGATGGTGTTTTATAAAACGCCAGTAGTGTGTGGCATCCACTGCAATCTGCTGGATAAGCAGTTGCACAAATTCCTCCAAGTTGAGAAGCCTCCAGAAATGTCATATTTTGGCTTCAATAATGAATGCCACAAATAACAGCACAGACATGGAGGACTTTGCTCAGTGTCTCAGATTCCAACCTGCCTCTCTTTAGCTGGGTCTGTTGTAGTTTCTTTTACTTTTTTTTTAAAGAAACTTCCCAAAAGTCTTCAGTCCTTGAAAAAAGATTTTTTTAAACCCATCTAGATCATCTTGCTTTGTCTTTCTCCTTTGTCTGTAATGTATTAGTCTTTTGCCTCTTCTTTCCCCAAAAGTCTGATACCTGAAAAGTAGACCAAAGGACTTTTTTTTTAAACCCCAGCTCTTTGATTTTATATTGCTGATCAGTGTTGTAAATTGGATTAGGAAGAACATGTGGGAAAAATATATTGCTAAGCTTGTTGGCATTTATTATAGAAAATAAGATTTCACACTTTGAGATATGCTTGCCAAGTTTTATGAGCAATGGTATGGTTGTTATTGTTTGATGAACTTAGTGCTACATTATTAGAACAGAGATTGACATAATTTTACTCTATAAAGGTTCTACTGTAAGAACAGATAGAAAGCAAAGGCATGCTTCAGAGTTGGAGGTATGGCTGAAGTGCAAAGCCCTGAGTTTAAACCCCAGTACTGCCTGCCTTCCCCGCCCTCCGACAACAGTGCTTCATATCGTAAGGAAAAATAACAGTAAAACTGGAGTAACGCATAAAGACTAAAAAACCCTACTGGACCTAAGACCATGGCCTGCTCTTGGGAGAAAGGGGCAGATTGCCTTTCTGCTTATGTCATGACTCTCATTCCCCCCAAAGTGTTTGGAAATGTTCTCATTTGCCAACGAAGAGTTTATTGCAATATAGAATTCCAAAAATAAAATGTAGGTCTGTGGCTGGACTCCCAGAATCTAACTGGCAGTGTGTGTTTAGTTCATTGAATATGTATGCGTTGATAGCCACGAACTAGGGTCCAGGAGATTGTGTGTGATTGTGAGCCAGGAGGCTTGAATTCCAAACTCATTTTTGCCAGCTTTTTGCCTGACATTAATGACATGAGCCATTCTGTCCAATAAATAGCTTTTGGCCTATTAGTGAGCCAATTAGTCAGTGAGATGCTATTTCAGGAGGTATGGATACCCTTTTTCTTAAAAAAGAAAATAAAACAAAAAAAAAAACACAACTCAGCCATTGGAAGTAATAAATATCAAAGGGGTAAAATATAAGAATAAGTGCCAGACATGAAATAAAATTCTTAAAGGAGAAAGGTGAAATATTAGGAGATTGGAATAGTTTTCGCAGGAAAGGAAAATTTGAAGATTCATCTAGAAGCAGAACTAGACCTTGGAAATTATCAAGATAAAGAAAGAATTTTGGATATATTTTGGCAAGTTAGTGGAATCCTACCTGGGGCAATCTCTCAAGTTGCTTTCACAGCTAATGAACCAGCTATGTGTATTGTTGTCTTTGGTGCAAGTTGTAAAGCAAAATGTCTGTTATTTTGCTTGGTCAACAAATGGGTATTCTTAGTCCTTTCATGCAAGAAAACTCAAATTGCTTATCAGTAAATAAACCAATGACCAGGCATGCACTCCTGTAATCCCAGTGATGTGACTGCCTCTAATTCTAGCATTTAGGAGGCTGAGGCAGGAGGATTGTGAGTTTGAGGCCAGCCTGGGCTACAGTAATGAGATCCTGACTCAACAAAAAAGAAAATAAGAAAAAAATTGCCTTCCTGGATAGAAGTATAAAATACTAACATTTATAAGAATTTAATTCTTTAAAAGAAATTTAGAATGTCAGGCTGGAAAATTAGATCATTTAAACTCTCTGTAACCTTAGTTTTCTCATTTGTTAAATAAGATGATTAGATTAAATAACTGTGAAGGTTTTTAATCATTTAAGATCAGTTTTAGGAAAGTTCAAAACGATCCCATGATTTCAGTAGCCCTTTAATGAATTCATGAGATGTGCCAAGCATTTTAAATTAACGTCATTTAATTTTCTCATCACCATTTTAAGGTGGTAGATACATAGGCATTTTTTTTCTTTGCTTCTTATTTATTTTCTGTCTCTGCCAGTTGAATGTAAATTTCCTGAGGTCAGGAAATTATTTCTTACTCATCATTTTTTCCTTAGGAACTGAAATTTGTTAGATTCTGGGTCAGTGTATGTTAGTTAGCCTTCTAGCTTGGTAACCCCCTTGGCCACCCGAAGTGGACAGTGTACCTCGCCATCTAAATGCATGGCTTGTTGATTATGAATGCCTTCCTCTTTCATCTTGCTGTGTCCTACAGTATCTTTTGAACAGAAATGGACTCTGTGAGGATTTAATAAACATGCAAATAAAAAAACAACTCTTGTTAAATAACCTTAGAAAATCATTTCCTCCTTTAAGATTCACTTCAGATGTCACATTGTTGGTGAAGCTATTATTTTTCTCACACACAGTTCTTCATTCCCTTCTGGGTATTCCCATCACACTTTGTACACACATCTTTCAACTTGTGCCTTCTTGTTGTGTTTTTGTCTTTCCTGACAGAATTTGAGTTCATGGAGGGTGGAAATGCTGAATAGATCCTTAGGTAATAAGTCTGTAGTCAGCTATTTAAAATATCTTCTCAAAGAGGGAAAGAGAGAATGGAGCAGTTTGGACATCTAGAAGGTATTTTGATTTTTGCTAGATGTGGACTAGTGAGAGAACACTTGGGATCATAATTCAGCTATGATTGATTGAGGCACTTTGTCATATCCTGCTTCTTTGAGTTAATTCCACTCTCACAGTGACCTGAGAGATACCACTTTACAGAGAAGGAGATGAAGCAGTTTCCTCATTGTCACACTTGTCTATTAATAGAATGCTCACGAAATGTTGAATGATGGAGGAACTGGGTATGACTCCAGTCCCATGCTGGTGCTTGGTGTAATGCCCAGTGTACCAACATCAAATTATGGGTATGAGCTTTGTGGTTGTTGTCATCTTAGTTTTTTAGAGGAATTCTGTTCAGGAGATCATAGTTCTGTTTAGACATGGGAATCAGTGAGAAGATATGATTTAGTAAAATTGACTTTAAGCTGATGTTGGAATGTATTTTTTCTTTGAAGTGAAGTATGTATTTTATAGACATTGTTAAATATTCCTTTTAAATATTTCTAATTTCAAATAACATCATAAATGATCATTATGTATTATAATTTAGTACTTGCCACACACCTTGTGACAGGTTCTAATATCCCTGCTTCACAGCTGTTTAAACTAAGGCAAACAGAAGTTGAGTTTTGCCACTGGTCACATAACTTGTAGTTAATAGAGATATATTTAGGACTTTGACTTTTGGCCTACAGAATCTTAATATTCTTTATTTCTATTTGTATATATTTTAACTATAATAGACATATAAACATATGTCTATGTTAGTAATTTAATCGAATGCTAAATCCTATTTGTGAATTCCTACTGATGTGGGTAGTATATTGCTCAAGGTAATATAACCTGTGTGGCTTTCTCCTTCCCTTTACTATTTGATGATGTAATTCTATTTCTAAAAGAAATGTTTTATAAAAGGTTTACTAATAGAAGTATCAGATTCTTCTTAAGATGTGTATCTGTGTGGAACATTAAATTTTACAAGTGAATGAACAAACATATAAATATTTTGATAGTGAGGGGCATTTATTTTGGGATTGAGGAGTCTCATGGCTTGTTCTGTTTTCACTGGCAGTCCAGTCAGTGTGTGTGGGGAGGAGGCATGTGTCTGACTGGATCTTGTAGTGGAGGTGTTCAAGGGGTATGCATCACAATTGTAATTGAGTCACCATGTTGATTTTGTTTTGCCACTGAGTAGACAATGAGCTTTGCTTCTATGGCTGTCAAAGGTTTTTACATCTTTGTTCACAGCACCTTCTTAAATTAAAAAAAAAAGCTATTTAAGGCAAAAGTAAGTGAAATCCAGAATCCTTAGAGGCAGTTGATTTATTGTTCCAGTTCTATAATCTCCTACTTAAAAAATACATCCTACACAGTGAATGCCACGTACAGCTCCAGGAAGCTGTGAGTAGAAGCGTAGCTTGCATCAAAAAAACTTGTGTTCCTCAAAACTTATGGGACAGCAACAACAAAAACCAAACCTGAGTGTTGATAGATTAACTTACATGAAATAATAGGACTAAACAGTTTTCCTGGGGAAGTATACTTTCTAGGTATGTCAGGAATCATCTTTAGGTATCGAGAGAAGCACTTTGAACACATTTTATACTGTTTTAAAAATAAATGAACCCCCAGTATTTTGCCTTTTTAGTTCTATTTATATAGAGTAGCAATAAAGCAGAGAGCATTTGATCATGTTTTCATTTCAGAATTTATACTTTGCATGTGTGGGTGGAATGGGAGGGCTAAAATGAAAAAAAATCACTATATTTTTAAGTTGTAGTAAATCATGCAATCTTTAGTGCTTGAAAAATAAAGATTCTTTCTTTTTCTGCAGAAGCGTGCTAAGGGACAAGTAGTATTTGACAAAGTGTGTGAACACCTCAACCTCTTGGAAAAGGACTACTTTGGACTTTTGTTTCAGGAAAACTCTGAGCAAAAAGTAAGTGCTTTCATCTTTATTTTAGAAGGTACTATATTTTCTTAACCAGTTCCATCTCAGTATAAAATTTAGCTTTAAGATAACTTATGTGTTTATTATGATTTATTTTAACATATTCATTGTAGAAATTTAAGATTATCTGTGTGACAGCTACCTATAAGTTGGCATTGTGAGCATGTGTGCATGAGAACTTTCTACATATCATGAACAGGCAGTATGGAATGTCTTTTCCAGTGTTAATTATTTGAGACTGAAAGAATCAATTTTAAAATTAAGTTAAAGTTTTAGCTCTTGAACTCCTAGTGGAGTCAAGTCATGTAATGAATTTGTGCAGGAAAAGTATTTTTTAAAATAATTATTTATTTTTATTGTTTACTTTTGGGAATACTGAGGTTTCAACTCAGGACCTTGCTTTTGCCAGGCAGGTACTCTATAAACCTGAACGCCACCCCAAGCCCTTTCTGCTTTCAAATAGGATGTTGCTGTTACAGGTGGGCCACCACACCCAACTTTTTATTGATTAAGGTGGAGATCTGGTGAGATACCCCTGGCAGGGGCCTAGTTTCCCAATAGCTAGGATTGTAAGTGTGAACCACCATGCCAGGCCCTGCCTGAGGTAAATGGTTTTTAATGGTGGGAAAATGGATGCTCTAGCATAAAGACAACAGACTTAAGAATGGTATTATCTCAATCATGTCCTGCTATGTGACTTTTGGTGCCTTATATAGTGGTTAGTCAAGTTTGCTGATTTTTGTCAACATACAGATGTGCAGTCACCTGTGTACTATGCATTAAGCATGCCAGAAAACAGGTGCATTGGAAGGAGTGTCAAGAGTAAGAGTACCCAGGTGTACTTGTTGACAGGGAGATAGTGCCTTGGTGGATAGAGTGTAGTGCCTGTGTGAGTTGAAGGTGCTGTTTGCCCTGCCGTGGCATCAGGAGTGTGGAGATCATTTTAGGTTCCCAAGGTACTAAGCAAGAGCATCAGATGGGTCTGATGGTTAATGCTAATTCCAGGCCACTTCAGGGCTTCTCAATTTTATAAGTAAGTTAAAGATAGAAATACTAACCAGTCTGACAGAGCCAGAGTTAACCTGTAGCCTTCCCTCCCTGTTAACAAAAGGGCTTTCTTTTTGGGGGGCAGTACTTGGGTTTTACTGAGGGCCTCATACTTGCTAATAAACAAGTATTCTACCACTTGACGCACAGCTCTGGTTCTTTTTTGCTTTAGTTTGTGAGGTAGGGTTTTGTGCTTTTGCCTGGGCTGGCCTCATGGTGGCCTTGGACTTTAATTCTCCTAAATATGCCTTCTTTGTAAATGGGATTGCAGGCATGCACTACTATGCTTGCAGAAAAGGGCTTTTTCTCTTCTGCTTCACCTTCCGAGTCTTGGGAATTACTGTGTGAGAAGATGCTGAATGTAGGAGTGAGGACTACAAGTTTGGCCCAGAGTTGCATCCTTTAGAGGAAGCCCTTTTAGCCTGTTTTATTGTGGCTATGGATAAATAGACTCACCATTATCATCATTTTGTCTGGTGATGTCTAGAGCACTTGGTCACGGTGAAAGGAATTATTGTCCAATATCTAACATTCAGTAGAAGAGAACAATCATTAGAAGAACATAAGTGTGAATTTTGTTATTTTCTTCACATGCCATCATTGTTTGTATTTACATGTAATTTAATGGAATTAAAGGCTACTAAGGATGATAATTATATGTTAATGTTCCCTACTTGCTCACTTTTAAATCCTGGATACCTAATTTGTGGGTTTATTCTATATTTAGACCAAAGGCAATTAAGTTCCATGCCTTCCTGCTGAATAGTGTGTGTTTTTATTAGAACTGTTCAGAGTATTCTTTAGAAGCAACTGCACATTCGACTAAATAAACTAGGTACTTTAAAAAATTTATTCATATGTGCATACGTTGTTTGGGTCACTTCTCTTTTTTAATGCTGTAAATTGTAAGTTGAGCTTCATAGTGTTTGCATTCATGCTTTTCTGTTGGCCTTCAAAGGTAAGAGAGAAAGTGATGGGAATTTGGCTGTCATTATCTCTGGATTTCCTTCTGAGATTACATATTGGTACATTCACTGAAACATTTAATCTTTATAAAGTATGGAGACAATTCAGTATTTTCTGCAATATGTAGAATAACATGTTCTGTTAGAAATGGGATAAACTATATTAAGCAATATGGCATTTCTGGAACATTCATTTTGCATAGGAATAAGCGGTGTTTAGAGAATAAGATTCACTTTTTTAAGTTTAACACCCAAAAATGTGTCTTGACTATATCTTACACAGGATTGTCAGACCCATATATACTTAATGATCTACTGGCACTACCTTCCACTGTTTAAAAGCAAACTGGTCATCTTCCCCTTAAATGACATCTGTTCCCTGAAGAGTGAGTCCACAGTTCTTCCTTCCCTTTACCCCCTTCTGTTGCTTATCAGTTAACAGTTCTCTTTTCTGCTAACATCTCTTTCCTGCTTTCTTTGTCCACAGATCTTGCTTTGGTTTAGGTCTCTGACAACTCTTGCTTTGACTTACTCAGTAGCTTCTTAGCTGGATTTTTCCTCTGGGTTAGCTGGAATAACTAGGCCCCTATGGTCCTGTCTGATGTTGGTATTCTCTGGCTTAGAATCACTCAATAGATGCAGTCTAACCCCTTTGGTGTGATTTTTCGTTAGTTGGTCATATAACCTCAGTATACTTGAGCTTTACTTCTCAGTGATCTTTCACACACAAATACATATTCCATATATACCAAATTTCTCTCCCAGAAATGAGTTTTGCTGGAGGTGTGGCTCAAGTGGTAAAATGCCTGCCTTGCAAGTGTGAGACCCTGAGTTCAAACCCCAGTACCACCAAAAATGAGCCTTGCTGGTATTGCTTGTACATATTATTCTTTACATTGGGAATGTCCTTCCCTTTCATTTGCTATCTGAATGCCTGCTTTCCCTTAAGAGCCACCTTACGTATCCTCCTTTGAGCTTTTCTTTAACTGTTTTCTATCACCCTGCCTGCTCTCAACTCAGGTGAAGGGAATTGACAGTTCCTCTGTCATCAACACCGTTAGTACAAACCTTAATTTGTATATTACCCTTCCTCCTCATTAACATATGATTGCATCTGAAAATGGGATGATAAATTCTAATAAAAGAATTGTGTGGTGACAAGATAAAGGGTTTGGCCATGGAAGGGGATGGCTGAAGTCAAGGAGAGGTTAAGGTCATTAAGGCAGAGAATAAGATAAGGATAGGCTTGGGTAGGTTTTCTCATTGTCAGTACTGCTTAAGGAATTCCTTATTTTACTTTGTATTTTCTCAGATGAAGGTGCTTAAAAATTAGATGTACATTTTATACTTAGGCATTATTTTAACTCAAGGACTTTGAGAGTGGAGTGTCCTTCCTGAGACATTCACTTTTCAGCAATATAATTACTTATGTATGATTCATGTCCTTTTGTAGCTTTCGTATTGTGTATTTTTTATTCCTTCTGCAATATAGACAAGAGCCATTCCTCAGTGTATTTCAGCAAAAAAATCTTTTTTGCTTCCAATAGAGATTTGTCTGGTGTCTTTGTTTCCTCCCGCCCCACAGAAGATTATTACTATTAAATGGATTTAGCTTAATCAGTCCTGCTTTGTTTGAAATCCGTGTAACTTCAACAATAGGACACGGGGATGTTAAGTTTCTCTTTTGTCTGTTTTTGGTCCTGAGGATTGAACCCAGAACCTCATGCATGGTAAGCATATGTTCTGTCACTGAGCTTACCTATAGCCTATTTCCTTTTCATGCTGAATGCATGCTAGTAACAGTTTCTGATATTTTTTTCAACTGATTGTAAAGTGAAGGTGAGGCAAACCCATGAATATTTTCTATGAAAATTTTCCATGGAGATAGAATCTCAAGTTTCTTTGAGTTTCTTTATAGTATTGTATCTTCATGGTTGAGACACTGAGTTGGAAGCCTTTCAGATCATTCTGAATATGAAAATGTGACATCGTTAGTTTTCGAACTTTTTAATGTCCGTTGAGAATTTTTATATAAACTTTACTGTGGAAAATGTTAAAATTATGTGGAATCAAGCAATGTGTTATTCTTTTATATACAGAATTCCAAGTCCATGTAGTTCTTGTATTCATGTCCAAATGGGACTGTCATTGAGGGTTTTGGATTCTCTTTAAAGGGAAAATTAAGTTGTCTTGAATTTTTGATGTTAATAGAGTTTGGCATTTGGTGCAGGTATTACAATGTCACTTTGCTGAAAGCCATATTGAAAGAAATGCTTATTAGACGTGTAATTGATACCCACAGCTAACTTTATGAAAATTAATTAAAACAGTTGTCTGATAGCCAGACCATTTTCCCTCAGAAACAGAACTAAAAACTCTAATATCCAGCTTTGTGTATCTGAACTATTTTCAAATAAAGTTCTATATTCAACCCAGTTAAACTTTACAATCCCACATGCTCCCAGATGTATAGTGAATGTTCACTGTGATACAGAAAGCCTGTAACTTCTCCCAACACCAGCATTATGTGTAGATTTCTATTAGACCTAATTTATGCAGAAGTATATATTAAAGGGGATCTCTTTCAGGGCTATTAATGCCTATGAAAAAATGCAGATTTAAGTCAGAACTCCTTTTATACTTTCAGCATTTGGTAATACAGTGTGAGTTGGGTTGAATTTGTTAATTCTCTCACCTGGCCAAATTGTAGTACATCAAGTGAGGAAAACATGTCTAAGCATTTGGAAAAACTTCTAACTGTGGAATCTTAGGATTGTCTAGTCAGAAGGGGAATTAACAGCAATAAATAGGTAGTTTTTTGGGGAAAGAAACTATTAAGAAAAATTTTTCTAATACTTGCTAAAACAGGCAGAATTTACTCAGCATTATTTCAATAGCTATAAGGACCATTGTAATGAGGTTTTGCAGTAGGTGAGAGTTTGGGCTACACTATGAATACAGCAAGGAAAAGTGAGA